ATGTGGAAATTGAACAGAAATCTTTCAAGTATCTTAAAAACTCGTGCGTCGAANGTTGATGAAATTCGATTGGATGAAGAAAATGACGATGTCGTCGTCGTCGTCGTCGTCGTCGTCGTCGTCGAAATCGTCGACATCGTCGACATCATCGACATCGTCGACATCGTCGACATCGTCGACATCATCGACATCGTCGACATGGTCCTCATCGTCGTCAACCAATCTATCTAACATGGTGGTTCCTAAGAACGAGGTGATCAGATTTATCTCCGATTGTTTATGCAAGGTCGGAACAACCCCCGAGGATGGGTATATCGTTGGCCATCACTTAATGACTTCCGATTATTGTGGCCATTTTAGTCATGGAATGAACAGAATGCAAGCTTACGTGTTGAGTATCAAAAATGGAATAACCAATCCTTCCGCGAAACCGACGGTCGTTAATGATTTTCAGGTACGACATAAGCCTAATTTCCTAATTGATGGGGTTATACAGCTAGATTGATAGACGATTCTTGACTTCTTTCCATCTCATTGTCGCAATCTTCATCGAGATCGAGCGAAATTGAAACTCGTGACGCGGTTTAATCGTTCGTTTAATCAACCGGTTAAAAACCGGATAAAAACAGTTGTCAAAAAGATTATATAACGCCACGGAGGTGCGACTTATGTAAATTTTTAACAATAATTCCCAGATATTTCGAGATGTTTCATTCGGTTATTCGGAGAAGAATTATTCGATTTATCTTCTTCGCGATTCGCAAAAATTGCATTTGCGTCATTTTTTTTTTTTTTTCTTAAAAAAGAATCGACTCAGTTATGATCGAAGAGTCGTAATATAAATCATCGTACAATCTTAGAACGATTTGAAAATCCGACTTTTACTCGTCCACTGTCGTCTGAGCGGAATTTTAACGGATAACTTCTCGCGTTAAGATGCAAATGGAAATCACGATTATCGCCATTATCCAACAAAACGTAACGAAACGTAATTTTTAGAAACTAAAAACTCGAATTCCACTGAAACGACACGAAATAAGTGTGACTCGACTCGTCTCGTTTCCCTTCGTTCTCCTCCTTCTCCTCAAAAGAAAAATCAAAAGCAACGGTGGAAATCTATTTGCAGGCGGTAGCTTTAATCGACGGGAACAACGGATTGGGGCATACGATCGGTAAATATTGCATGGAGCTCGCGATAGACAAGGCGAAGAAGTACGGTATCTCAATGATCACGGTTCGCGGCTCGAATCATTACGGGATATGCGGTTATTACACCCAAATGGCGATCGAAAAAGATTTGATAGGGTTCACCTGCTCGAACACCAGTCCATTGATGGCCCCGACGCGGAGCAAGATCTCGGGATTGGGGACGAATCCGTTGTCCCTGGGGATGGGGGCGTCGGGCGGCGACAAGTTCTTGTTGGACATGGCGACGACAGCCGTCGCGTTTGGAAAAATCGAGCTGGCCATGAGGAAGAACGAATCGATTCTCAAGGGTTGGGCGCTCGGCACGGATGGGAAGATCACGACGAACGCTCAAGATGCGTTCAATGCCGGCCGTTTGATGCCACTCGGTGGCGTGGAGGAAAATTCGAGCTACAAAGGGTATGGATTGGCGTTGATGGTCGAGGTGCTTTGCGGGATCCTATCAGGAAGCGATTTCGGGCCTAACATCAGGCAATGGAAGGACAGGGCGAAAGTTGCCAATCTTGGCCACTGTTTCATAGTTATAAATCCTGACGCGTTTACAACCGGATCGAAGGACAGGTTGGCCAAATTGTTGACTCAATTGAGAAACTTGCCTCCCACCGAGAACAAATCTGTCTTGATACCCGGGGACCCGGAAAAAAATTCCATGAAACTCGTCGACAGAGAGGGTGGGATTACGTATCACCCTAATCAATTGAAATTATGCAAAGATTTCGCGGATAAAATGGGTGTCAAGCCTATGCAACTTGTTCCGAAAAATAGATTAAAATAATAATAATAATAATAAATAAATAGGAAATTATCTTAGTATTAGAATCTAATATTTCTTAACCTATCATTTGTGAATTCCAATTCATTCTGTTTATTTATTATTATTGCTATTATTATTACTATTACTATTATTATTATTATTATTATTATTATTATTATTATTATTATTA